TATTATAAATTTTTGAAACAATAAAAGCCTGTAATTCAGCCGTTGCTTTCTCTTGCGCTTCTTGAATGTACTAATAATTCATCACACTGTGAATTTTTTTCTTAGAAATTTTTCCCTGATGACGTTGATGGGGTTGTGATGACGATGATGATAGCGACGATGATGATGATGACGACGATGATGATGGCGACGATGATGATGATGACGACGATGAGGATGATGATGATGATGTTGAATTTTGTCGATTCCAATAATGAATCCAATTCATCAGATTTAAGAAAGTCACTTCATCTTAATGATGATAATGATGATGACGGTGATGATGATGATGACGGTTTTGTTTTATCTATAACTTTTATTCTTATTATTATTTCATTCTAATTATTTTTATCATTCTTATTTATATTTTTCACTTTACAAATGCCACAAAACCAGTTCTTTGATCTGCAGAATTCTTCATTTTTGCCTGTGCGTGCCTCAGTCAGGGAGTTTGAATCAATTACTCTTAATTATAACATTATAATTAATTCTAATTTTACTATTATTACGTCATAATTATTATTAGTATTATTGTTATTGTTATTATTATTAATTGCTTCAGTTTTTTAACTATAAAATTTTCTGGTCTGTACATATACTTTAGTTGTGGATCAAAGTAACGATAATAATACTACTAATAACTAACAATAATACTAATAGTAATACTAATAACAACAATAATAATTATTATTATTCTTTTAACAAAGATAATTATATTTTTTCTCACCTCTTGTTTATATATTAATGCAAATGGCATTAAGATACGTACGTATATAGATTTGAGCATGTGTTTATTCATTGTGGGATAATAATAAAAATAATAATTGTTATTGTCATTATTGTTATTAGGCCCTGGAAGAGGGTAGGAGGGGTAAAAAGGGTCATTTCGCATGGGGCATCCGAGTTGAAGGCCCCACCCCCTTCCCCCCTGAAGCAAATGTTAGCGACCTGATGACGATGATGATGATGGTAGTATTGATACTGATGACGATGATGATGATGATGGTGATTAACTCATTAATATTGATCATGCAATAGTTTAGCTTTCTGAGATTCTTAAAGAAACGACAAACACATTTTACACATACACGCGTGCGTGTATGTGTGCGTGCGTCTGTGTATGTGTGTGTAAACGCGCGCGTTAATTTACTTAAACTTGTCAATTACACTCCTGTTTCAAATGAATTTATCAAATATTTTTTTATAAGCAACTAATTCTGATATTAATCATGATGGTGATAATGATGATGATGATGATAATATTTATAACAATAATAATAATTCTCAATAATAATAATAATAAAATGTTGTTATTCTCTGTGGACTCATTAATTATTGCTTGAAGAGAGATTCTCATTGCGTTACATTTTAATAATTAAACAGACTTTTGATGATGATGAAGAGGAGGATGACGATGTTTAAACCTCTCACCGTCACCTATTCATTCGTTCATTCATTCACTCATTCATCCATCCATTCATTCATCCATTCATTCATTCATCCATTCGTTCATCCATTCAATTCGCCGGCATCAATAACAATAAAATGAATTATTTTTAATAAATCTTCATTTTGTGATTTCTTTACTGTTCATTTTATGGAATAATTAAATGTTAAATGAGAAATATAAAGATAATTATTTATATAAATATTAGCAATAGTATTTTTCAGCTATTTGTGCGTGTGTGTGTGTGTGTGCTTGTTTGTTTGTGCGTGTGTACATGTAATGTGTATGTGCATACGTGTGGTGTGTGTGTGGATATACGTGTATACGCTTTTTTGTCAATCTTTTTTTATTAATCTTTAAAAATGTTTTCAATCTAATATTTTTCACACTTGCGTTTTAATAATTTTAATAAAAACTTTATTTTATTATTATTATTTTAGTTTCATTATCCATTCATTCGTTCATTCGTACGTTCGTTCGTTTGTTCGTTCATTCATCCATTTTATAATTCTTTCAGTAATTCACTGTTTGAACGAAATTCAACAATTTAATAAAACACGTTGAAAATTCTCCATCATCACAAATATTATTATTATTTATATTCTTCTTCTTTTTATTATTTTTTTTTATCCTGTTAGGTTAATGCCATATGTAAAGCGTTTATTGAAAACCATATCAATGTTTATTGTTTTTTTTTTTCATTAACATTTTTGATCGACAAGCACTTTTATATATTATTATTAATTATTATTATTATTATCACTAAATATTATTAATTATAATTATTATTATCTGATTATTAATACTATTATTGTATTTAATTGTTTCAATAATGCGACAAACAACATAGTAAAATTAGTTTTTTTTTTTCAATTTCCTATTGCGATGGCGTTAAATGTTTACTGGAATAATTATTATTATTATTTATTTAATAATAATAATTTTATTATTATTATTCTTGTTATTATTTTTATTATTATTCTTATTGTTATACTTTTTTATTAAATTTTTTGTGTGTCTCTATTTCCGAATCTACGTTTGGCGAGATGGGCGATTTCAATGCGTTGTTCATCTGAATGAATAAAAAGGACGACGACATATAAAATGTTGTAGTTGTGGTTGTAGTTGTTGTTTTTGTGGCAGTAGTGGTAGTAGTTGGAATTGTTGTTGTAGTGGCTGACATCAAAATTATTACTAAAATTTGTAAGACCATATAGTGCCACATAAATATCGCTGGATAAAGACGCAAAGTCAATGAATCAATTTATTAGTTTATTAAGTGCTTTTTCCGCGTTGTTCAACAGCGCTCCTCAATGAATTTTGCAAACAGATGGGTCTTAAGATCCGCTCTGAACTTCGTAAGTGATGGAGAAGTAGTCAGAGAAAGAGGTAAACAGTTCGAGAGAAAAGGGACAAAAAAGCAAATGCAGATTTAGCAAATGAGTGTTTAATACGAGTTAAGAAGTGAGAACAAGAAGACGATCGTAAACCGGGGCTTTTAGGTTCTTTTTATATATCTGATAAGTACTTAGGAAATAATTTAGATTGAGACTCGTACATAAATGTGCAAATTTTAAAAATTATTCTATATTTTATAGGTAGCCAGTGCAAGAGAACAAGATATGGAGCTAAATGAGAAAAGAGATGGACACGAGCAACTAGACGAGCAGCAGAGTTAAAAGCTTTACTTAAAGGATAAAGTGTAGAATCAGTAAGACCATAGTAGAGCGAGTTACAATAATAGTAGATAAAACAGTTACAATAATCGTAGATAAAACTGGAGAAGTAACAAAAAGGAGAAGAGTAGGATTGTCAAGAAAAGGCAAAAGATTTTTGATTCTACGTAAATGAAAGTAAGTATTTCTAGCAATGCTAATAATCTGAGAAGAAAAAACTACAAAACTTGTGTAACATCAAGAGTATTAGAATCATTTAATATAATAGAAGGAATATCAATCAATCAATCAATCAATCAATCAATCAATTAGCTTATAAAGCGCTATTTCCGCGATGTTCAACAGCGCTCCTCAATGAATTTTGAAAACAGATGGGTCTTGAGATCCGCTCTGAACTTCGCAAGTGATGGAGAAGTAGTCAGAGAAGTAGGTAGAGAGTTCCAGAGAAAAGGACCAGAAAAAGCAAAAGCAGATTTGGCAAAAGAGTGTTTAACACAAGTTAAGAAAAAGCGAGAAGAAGAAGATAATCGTAAACCGGGGCGTTTAGGTTCAATTAATATATCTGATAAATACTTAGGAAATAATTTAGATTGAGACTTATACATGAACGTGTAAATTTTAAAAATTATTCTATATTTTATAGGTAGCCAGTGCAAGAGAACAAGATATGGAGATATATGAGAAAAGAAAGGGGCACGAGCAACTAGACGAGCAGCAGAGTTAAAAGCTTTACTTAAAGGATAGAGTATAGAGTCAGGAAGACCATAGTAGAGCGAGTTACAATAATCAATCCTAGATAAGACTAACGAAGTAACAAGAAGGAGAAGGGTAGGATCATCAAGAAAAGGCAAAAGTTTTTTTATTCTACGTAGATGAAAGTAAGAGCTTCTACCAACACTATTAATCTGAGAAGAGAGAGACATAGTAGGATCAAAGATAAAACCTAGACTACGAAACTTATGAGAGACATCAAGAGTTTTAGAATAAGGTAAGATAATAGGAGGAATAGTAATAGAGTGTTTAGATTTATTAAAACAAATTAATTCAAACTTAGAAGGATTAAGTTTAAGACACATAGAGTCAGACCAAGCGATAATTGAAGAAAGACATAGAGATAAATTATGAAGAACACTATTGAGATTAGATGGAGGAAAAGAAGTATAAATGTAAGAATCATCAGCATATAGTTGACTAGAGAAAGAAAAGTTATTAATAATACGAGGTAGTTCAGAAGTATAGAGTATAAATAGAAGAGGGCCAAGGATAGAACCCTGAGGTACCCCGAAAGTAAGAGTAGAGGAGTTAGAAGTAGAATTATTGAGAACAACAGAAGAAAAACGATTACAGAGATAAGAAGAAAACCAAGATAGACAAGAATCAGTAATATCAAAAGAAAGATGCAGCAGTCTCAAGAGAATAGTATGGTCAACAGTATCAAAAGCTGAGGAAAAGTCAAGAGCAAGAAGAAGAGTAAGATTACTATTGTCACTAGAGAGAAGGATATCATTGTGTATTTTAAGTAAAGAAGTTTCAGTGAGCAGGTCTGAAACCAGATTGAGATACAGGTAATAAAATCTCTATTATTAGTGAATAATAATAGAGATTTTAGATTTATTAAAACAAATTTTTACTTTTTATAAAAAAATAAATAAATAGTTAAGGTTTATACTAAAATTATCAAAATTTAAGTACTGCTAAACAGATAACTTGGAAACAGCTTTGCTCAATAAATTAACCCATTCTAACCTCATTACTCCATGGTCTTAAAACTTAATCATGTAGTTAAAATTCACTTTTAATTTAAAAACAAATACGTTTCTAAGAAATCAATTTTTTACGTTTTTTGCCTCTTTTAAACTTTAATAATTAGTTTTAGGACCGCGATGGTTCATAAAACTTTTTTATTGTTAGGGAAAAAGGTAATAAAAATTTGTCCATAATTTTTTTCAGCTTCATGATAAATTTTTTTTTTAATAATAATAATTAATTACTAATGTTATATTATGAAATTCAAAATTAAATTTTTTTTATTCTGAAATTTAAATAATTTATTATTCGATCGTTTCGTTTCCACTGATTATCTTCTGATCATATAAAATACATGATTTAATTTTTAATATAGTTAATATAATATATATAATATAAGATTGAGATGTGATTTATGATAAATGAGTGCTCTGTTTTGTTCATGTATGTATTATAATTTATTTTATAATATATTCAGTATTGTATCTGATCAGGTTTCGGTTTTTTTTGGGAGTTTGTTTTTCAAGTGTTAGAAATTGTAGTTTAAATTTTACTTGCTGTGAAGTTTAAAGTAATGTAAGCACTATATTTTTTTAATTGCAAGGCCTCCAGAAAGTTTATCGATAAGTTAAGGATCTTTGTTAAGGCTGGAAGTGGTGGATTAGGGTTGAGTAAGTATGGCGGTGTTGGCGGCCGTGGGGGTCACGTGTTTGCTGTTGGCTCAACCGATGCTTCTCTTAAAAAAATCAAAAATGAAAATTCAGACCAAAGATTTGTAGCTGGAAATGGTGGAAATAGCAGGTTTGCTGTTTTGTGAAATGGTTTTGTGATGTTCTTGTCATCTGTAAAATGTCATCGTGACATTTCCATGACTTTTCTTGATGTTAGGGTTCCTGATGTTCCTGTTTTTCTTTGCTGATTTTACAGAACCTCTTCAGAGCTACATAATTCTACTGTGCAGTTCAAGATTACATAACTATTAATTTAAAAAAATTGTCACACAAACCATCTTTTTCTTATTCCTCTATTTTTTCTAATTGTTTTATTTACAATAAAATAAAAAATAGTAATAAATTTACAATTATTAATAAAAATGATTTAAAATTATTTTTTCATGAAAAAAAGTGCCAGATCATTGCAGGGATCGCCAGGGAAGGATGTTTTCATTGAGTGCCCGATTGGAATTTCTGTCAAAACTGACAGTCAAGCCGTCCTCGGTAGGTCATTTTATTATTATTATTTCAATTATAAATAATAATAATTATTATTATTAATTATAGGCGAAATTATGAAGGAAAATGATAAAGTTTTATTGGCCAAGGGCGGAAGAGGTGGAGACCCTAGTAACTCATTCATTGGTTTATAATTTTTTTTTTAAATTTTTTTCAAATCTAAAATTTATTTGTTTCATGGTTTCCTGCGTTAATATAAATATTTTTTACTAAATTCTCAAATAATTTTACGGAAATTTGGAATTTTTAGGGCTTAAAGGTGACAGTCACAATGTAAGCCTTGATCTCAAGCTTATTGCTGACATTGGGCTTGTTGGGTTTGTAGTTTTTTTTATGTTTTATTATTCATTTATTTATTTATTTGATTTTTTAGTTAAATTTTAACTGAACAGTTTGAAAAATTAGTTTTATGTGCAAAATTTTTTTATTTAGTTACAGAATTACTTAATTCAACTTATTCACAATAATATTTTTAATTTTTCTCATTATCATTTTTTAATTCACTATATAAATAATTGCAGGTTTCCAAATGCTGGCAAGTCAACGCTGCTGAAGAGTTTATCTAGGTCTAGTCCAAAGATTGCGTCATACCCATGTCGGTCCTTCCTTTACATTGTTCATTTTGTAATTTATTTCTAAATTTTAAAAGAGAGATAGAGAGAGAGAGAGAGAGAGAAAACGGAAAGAGAACGAAATATTTATATGTATATTTATATTTATTGTTTCACGTTAATTCAACTTTAAACTCATTTCAAATCTTCAGTCACTACAATAGAACCTAGAGTAGGCATACTGGAGTATGATGATCACAGACAAGTAGGCCGTTTCTCGAAATTATTTTACTTTCCATTAATTAGGAGCGCTGTAAAAATTTAAATTTTCAATTTGGTTCACACCTCTTAGATAACTATGGCTGACCTGCCTGGCCTGATCGAAGGGGCCCACATGAACGTCGGGATGGGCCACAAGTTTCTGAAGCACATCGAACGTACCAAACTCCTCCTACTCATTGTTGACGTCATGGGCTTTCGACTGAACCCCAAGTCCCCGCTGAGATCCAGTTTTGAGAATGTTCTACTACTTAATAAAGTTCGGTCAAATTTTTAATGATGTCCTCAATTTATAACAATACTTAGGTGCCCGTACACGTGCGCATGTTCACATTTTTTGGGGTGGCTTTTTTTTACTTTATTTTCAACAGCAACATTGACACAATGCGGTTACAATAAAATCATCACCATTACACTAACAGTGACATCAACAACAACATTAACACAATGCGGTTACAATAAAATCATTACCATTACACTAACAGTGACATCAACAACAAAATTAACACAATGCGGTTACAATAAAATCATCACCATTACACTAACAGTGACATCAACAACAACATTAACACAATGCGGTTACAATAAAATCATTACCATTACACTAACAGTGACATCAACAACAAAATTAACACAATGCGGTTACAATAAAATCATCACCATTACACTAACAGTGACATCAACAACAACATTAACACAATGCGGTTACAATAAAATCATCACCATTACACTAACAGTGACATCAACAACAACGTTAATGCAACAACGATTACAACAACAACACGCAGGAGTTAGAGTTATACAAGGAGGAGTTGATTGATAAACCGAGCGTCCTGGTCATCAACAAAGTTGACCTGCCATCAGCACAGCTTCATGTCGATGCATTAATGAACAAACTTCAGCAAATGGAAGGTAGAAAATGTACTTCTTTGTTATCCACTCTCCTTCTTAATTGTTTTTGTCGCTGGTTTTCGTCAAATTTTTCAATTAAATGGAATACTGGTATGTATTTAATTATTTGAAATCCACTCGTAAAAGACCGTCAAAGGATAATAATTTGCGTAGCATACAAAATGTTTACATTGAACTGAAACCTCCAGATGAATTGAAATCAATCGCCGAAGAATTCCGACCGAAGAAATTATTACAATTCGATGACGTCATTACTGTTTCCGCTAAAAATTCATTAAATACGGAACACTTGAAGGCGAAACTTCGAGAACTTCTCGACCTTCACAGTGACCTTGACGGTCAGGATTCCAACCAGAAACAGTTGAGTCTGTTGAAAAATTCGCTCACGGAGCATGTTGGATTGGGAGCCGTCTAATGTTTTTATTTTGTTTTTTTAGCTTTAGAATAAATGAATTAAAAAAATATTAGTTTGCGTTTTTGATTTTTTTGTAATTTACGGAAGATAAAATAACAAATTGATTGCTTGGCGGTTGAGAATTCCAAATTAGATGATCCGTTACTTTGTTTAGCGGGAGATTGGTGTGCTGCTGTATCCATGGTTGCAGTGCGGAGGACAAATCTTAATTGCGAATCTTGACGGTTTCAAGAATTAAGTGGTGCACGTATAAGCTGAGCAAAGAATGACGTTTGTGTCGGCGTCATTAGTCTCAACGTTTAACCACAGAATGACGACTTAATACATCAAAATCTTGCGCTGGTCCGCTTCCGAGGAAGAATCAATTTGAAGGAGGAACTCATATTGAGAAATACGAATCGCCCATCCCCTGATTATCCCATCGCGTGATTATCATTAACTCGTACGTCATAGTGACGTCATCAATCATGGAAGCTTCATGCGCCGTGGCAGAACGCAAATTGTTTGTTATATGCACGCAAGAAAATGTAGCAACATCGTGACGTCATTCTTGGAACCATTTGTTATTTGATATTTTTGAATGCATACAATGGCTAATGCATATACATATGTGTTTATCTATGTATAGATGTGTATATAAAATTAGGAAGAAGACCAAGTTCTATACAGTTCTATACAAAAATCCACCGACGATTCAGCATTAACTTGTCGGTGGATTTTTTGAACAACTGTATGTGTATATAAATATACAAACACGCGTGCGTACATTCATAAATAGACTCACATTTGGTGATCTAGTGAAAGAATTCATTTCATTCTATCATTGTCCAGCTTTAACTTAAATAGTTTCAAACTTTGACACAATCTGAAACACACAGACACACACGTACACCACACACGCACGCACACGCACACACATATATACAGTAACACTAATACGCACACACTCACACATACACACACATCAAATTAGACTGAAGTTGAGCAGTTGGAGGAATGATGTGATTTATTTTCATTGCAATCTCCAACCTCTAATGTACCCCTTTCGTGACATAAATCTCGCAAACTCATCCCCATTAATAAATTTGCGGGGTACCTTTGAGCACCTCTAACAAGCAAATTGCATGACTAAGCGCACTAAATTGTTAAGCGCTATATAAATGTTTTTCTTCGAGTACCTCTTTCCGGTTGAGATTATTTTTTATTACCGCTACTTTCGGCACGCGTATCTTTTTATATTTTCTTGGATTTTTTTTCTTTGTTTTTTTTTGTTATCATTAGATATTTTGTCTATGCATTTATTATTTGTGTATTATTTTACAATTATTTTTTTAACATTTATTAAATTCATTTCAAATAAAAAAATTGAAAAAAATGTGAAAAAAAAAATTCCACATCGTCTCAGGTAGTCAATCAAACAAACAAATGAACATGAAGCGATATAAGAGTATTTATAGTAGAACGTGAGTACAATGTAGTAGCATCATGTAGAAGTAGCATCATGTAGAAGTAGCATCATGTAGAAGTAGCATCATGTAGAAGTAGCATCATGTAGAAGTAGCATCATGTAGAAGTAGCATCATGTAGAAGTAGCATCATGTAGAAGTAGCATCATGTGTGTTGTGTGTGTCTGTCTAGTGTACTATACCAAATAAGTACAGTGCTTGTAAGTATCATGTACTGTGTGTACGTGAAGTAATACGAATTGTGTAAGTAATACGTTTCATACACGTTCATCTTGAGTTAGTGTAATCACATAACGACGACACTAGCCACACTATATATACTATTCTTGCTAATGATATGACAGTAGTAGTAGCGGTGGTCGTGGTGGTTGTGGTAGTCGCCGTGCTGGTAGTAGTAGTAGTAGTGTGGGTGATGGTGGCCTAAGTACTCAACATTTGAACAGGTCACGTTCTCTTCGTGTTTGTTTTTAAGTTTTATATTGAGCCGTTCATCTGTTTAATTATTATCCGAAAGTGTGTTTGTGTGTGTGTGTGTGCGTGTGATTGTGCTTGTGATTGTGCGTGTGTGTTTCTCTGTGCGTGTGTATTCCTTTTTGTTTTTTTTTTGAGTAAATTGAATGTTGACCCATACGATGCATGTATCTTCTTACTTGAATGAAATTTTTAGAGATGTACATTTAGAAACTTGAATGGGAGTGTTGAGTTTTAATGTGTAAAATTCTGTTGTGTGTGTGTGAGTTGTGTGTGTGTGTTTGTGCGTGCGTGTGTGTGTGCGTGTGATTTTTGACGCAAATAACGACGACGATGATAAGATGATATCACAATGACTTTTTTACTTAACATCCTCCAAGATAGAAAGAGGAAGAGAAAGAATGTAATAAAAATGAATGAGAAAACGAATGAATGAACAAACGAACGAACGAATGAATGAGTGAAAGAAAAAAAGATCGAATGAATGACTGAATTAACGGTCGGATGGTTGAAATGTTAAATTAATGATGCTGGCCTGGAGTTGCTTTGGGTTTTTTTGGTTGAAACAGTGAATGAATGAATGAACGAACGACTGAATGAATTGATTGATTAGTTAATTAAAGAAATAAAAAAGTGAACAAGAGCAAACGAATGAATGAAGGAATAAACAAAAAAATATAAAATGTTTGTTGAATTGAATTCGCAAAAAATGATTTCAAATTTTTAGTTATAAAAACCTTTATATTAGATCCAGCGACGACAATGACGTCACTAAAAATTATAATGACGTCAACAGAGAATAATAACAGCAAAGAAATCGGAAATACGTTTACAAGAATTGATTTATATTAGTAAATAAATTAAATTCAAAGCAAAACTTAATTTTCCATCATGCTAAAATTTAATATAAACACCTAAATGATTAGTGACTATGTCAATGTCTAAACATCTAAACGCTGATGATTTGAATGATAAACATCATGATGATGATGATGATGGTGATGACGACGAAGACGATGAGGATGATGATGATGGTAGTGATGACGATAAAGATGATGTTTGTCTTGTAGCCATGCTAATTATACTGATCTCCGGTTTTTAAAAGCGAGGTCAAAAATAATGAGGTGTCATTGATAATATGATGACGACGACGATGATGATGATGATGACGATGATGATGACGATGATGATGATGATGATGACGATGATGATGATGACGATGATGATTAAGAATACGATGACGTCATTGCTGTTGTAAAACGTGGCAAATACAATTGGATGAAGCTGATGAATAACACAAAAAGACGGCAGATGAATGAAAAAATTATAATGAATGAATGAATGAATGAAAGCATGTCTGATTGATTGAATGAATGAATAAACAAACAAACAAACGAAATAAAAAACGAACGAACGAACGAACGATCGATCGACTGAACCAAAGAACGAACCAACAATGAATGAATAAACGAACGAACGGATGAACAAACTTACAAATAAAAAAGTTTCAAATATAAATACATATATAATATACGTTATGATAGTGATCATAAAGTGACTTAGCGAAATGACGTCATTATCGAGAGAAAATTGTATGACAGGACTTTTGAAAAAATTTACAGTTAAGAAAGAAAAACATTAAAAAAAATCACTATTTTTTGTTTGACGTCATCTTCTATGCTGAAGAGCGGGAAACTTCCGCGCTAAATTTCTAAGATCTTGCCAGACGAACATCAACAATAATAATAATTATAATAACAATAATAATAAGAATTATTATTATTTTAAATTGAGACCAGAATTTTTTTTTAAATAAAAGTAATGAATTAATCAAACAATATAGCTTAGTAATAACAAATTTAACTGCTGAAATTCAAGTTAACAATAAAACAAAAATATGAATAATAATAATAATTTTAAATAATAACAATAATAATAATCAATTATGAATAAAGTGAGCATTATATAAATACTAATCACATGTGTGTTAAATAAAACGTTCTCTACCTGTCATTACAATCTATATATATAAGTACACACACACACACGCACGCACACACACACACACACACACGCATATCTGCACACATACTTACACACATTTTTATATATTAAAAATGTGCCAAAAGCCAAAGGGCTGAGTTGAACGAATATTCAGTCGAAGCGAATGTTGAATACCGAAATACTCACAATTTTGAAATTTCTTACATTATTTAGAATGAAAAACATACTATTTGTAAGCGAGTCGTCTTTACCGAACTAATCTTGATCGAGATTATCTTCAACCTCTCTTTCAAATTTTCAGCTAATTATGCAGCATCTGGAATCCCAAAAAAGGCGGTATTTGGCTATTCGGCCTTCTACCTTTAAAAATAACCAAAGTCATCACATATTCAGTTTCGACTGAACTAAAATTTCCTTACTTTCACACACATACACGCATTCCTACATACACAAATATATACACGTACACACACGCGTAAGCGCATATTCAGTTTAGTACTTCGGTAATTAATTAATTAGATAAATGATTAATTGATTAATTGATCAATTAATTAGATGGATAATTAGTATGAATCAACTTGTTTGTTTAAACTATTGTAATGCTGTTTAGTCAGATGTCGTTGTTGTTGTTTGTTGTTATTATGTTAATGTTATTTGTTTTAAATGTTGTTAAGTAAGTCGTTGTTATGAATGTTTTTGTTGTCGATTTGGTTGTTATGTTATTGTTACCGAGTTAATTTCTGTACAATTGAGTACAATCTGTCGAACAATTAGTACAATCACTGGTACACAGCTCTACTTATGAGTACATTCAATTTTTAGGTACGTTAATTTAATTAGATTCAAAGGCACGAGATGATGATGAAGATGAAGATGGTGATAACATTTGTTGCTTTGGTAAAAAAAGTAATGACCATATAACGAGAATTGTTAGTTTTTCGTGAAGTGACAATGATGGTGGTGATGAAGAAGACGAAAAGGATGCTTGTAATGATGGCAATGCCGCCGCTGCTTTTGCTATTGCTGCAGTTGCTGCTGCTGCTTTTGCTGCTGCTGATGATGATGATGAAGATGTACGCAAATGATGACAATGATAAATAAGAAAGAGAACTGATAACGATTGGGAACGTTGGAAGATGATGATGACATCTTAAATAAACAATATCTCACAATACTTTTTTTATTCGCGACAATTTGTAACTGCCGTTTTGGTTGCTGCTGCTGCTCTCATTGCTGCTGCTTTTGTCGCTGCTGTCGTCGTCGTTGTGGCTTGCTGCCGCGGTTGTTGTAGTTTTTGATTGTTGTTTTTGTGGCGGTTGATTTTGTCTTTGTCTATTGTGCTTCTTACATTGGTCTATATTCATTTGCTAATGTAGCTCCTTCCATTATTGTATCTTTAGTAGTAGCAGTAGTAGTAGCAGCAGTAGTAGTAGCAGTAGCAGCAGCAGTAGTAGTAGCAGTGGTAGTAGCAATAATAGTAGTACTAGTATCAATGATAACATGCAACAATTTGTTGTTGTCAACGTCATTATTGTTGATGTTGATAATAATGAAGAGTTATTGCACTGAGCTTTTTTGTATTTTCTGCAAAATTTTTTTTATACCGTTGTTGTTGTTGTTCTTATAGTTGGTATGAAATTTTGTCATAAATGTTGCTACATAGTTGTCGTCGTTGTTTTGTTGTTGCTGTTGTTGTTGTTGTTACCAACACTCATAGCGTTATAATTGTTGATGTTATGATGGTTGATGTTATGGTTGTTGGTGATTTCGCGGGTATTTTTTTATTTTTTACAACACTTTCAACAATTTTGCTAGTAAATCTGTTGTTGTTGATGTTTGTAGAGAATGACATACAACTTGCCACATAGAAACGTTTGTTGATTATAGCGCTATACAAATTAGAGTAACCGATTTTAATGGGTGAAACGCTTTTTATACTGTAAACCGTAGTGTTATATGGTGAGGTATATACATTTTTGAAAATAATGATAACGAGGAGGATGAGGAGGATGATGATGCAGATTATCGTCTTAGGAAGAGAGTTCAAAATGATTAAGATGATTAGAGTTGAATTCAACATGGACAATAAAGAATAAGTACGTGACGACGACGATGAAGATGAAGATGACGATTGTAACGATAGCGATGATGGTTGCAATGATGATGATGATGATGATGATGATGATGATGATGATGATGATGACGTCATCAAGAAAGTTGATGTTATCAAAGATGTGAAAAACTTACGAATGATGTAACGCGCTAACATTAACGAGTTAAATAACCGCAATAATGTTAATAAAATTATCTGATGCGATAATGATGATGATGGTGATGATGATAACAGAGGTGATAATAATGATGAATGTGACGAAAAAACCATTGACAACAGTAACAAAATCCAAGATGATGGTGTAACAATTAATGACAATGATGATTTCAACAATGATGAAGACGACGACGATGATGATGAGAATGAGAATGAGCATAGCGAGCGAAACAACACAGATAAGATGTATAAGAGATGATATACAGCCAAAAACAACAGCCTACAGACACGACACACGGCATAGAACAACAACACAAACGCGAAACAACGACAGACTGACAGACAACTCGCCACCAGCAGCAACAAAATCAACGACGCAGACGACGCGGCTGACGACGACGATGAATAGAGCGGGTAGTATTCCCATGCCGGAAGTGTGAGGTTACATTTGTGAAGGACAAGGTCACGTGTTTGACTGACCAGTGGGAGGATGTAGCTGTTCCGGAAGATGGTTGGGCCCCCTTGGGGACATCTGTCTTTCAAAATTTCCTCGATCTCGTGAAAACATTTCATGGATGTCATGGCTACCCTGGAGGGTGGAAACATTTTGCAAGATGCAAATTTAAAAAAAAAAAAAACTAAAATTTCTTAATTGAAATGAGGCTTGAAAATAAATTTGTATTTATTTGCTGTAGAGATTACCATGTATAAATGTGTATTGCACAGACGTTCACACATACTTTCATACATACTCGCACGCACGCACACGCACAAACACACGTACACGCACACACGTACACGTAAATTTTATTGCACTTGGACGGGTTCTTAATTAAGAATAGAAAATTATTGAAGTTGAAAAAAAAATGAACAGAATAAAATCAATTTGATACACGTGCCCCCAGTCTATCTATACTTACACACACACACACACACACACACACACACACACACACACACACACACACACACACACACACACATGCAACACACACATCAATACACAACACACACACATCAATACACACACACACGCACATTTATTCCAAACACTATCTAGTGATGGAATTTTGTTTTACATAAATTTAACACTCCTCCTGCCAGATTGTAAACCATTCTCAATTTTCCAATTTTCCTCGGAAAATTTTTTGACCACGTTTGTTGGTGTGAAAAAAATGTGGCACCGAGTTTATGTGACGTCATTCACTTTATGTATTGTTATTTACTATACAAACACACACACGACATACACATACACACACACTCACGACACACACATACAAGACATACACACACACTCACGACACACACATACAAGACATACACACACACATACACAAGTGAAATAATTAATACCGTGTGTGTGTGTGTGTGTGTGTGTGTGTGTGTGTGTGTGTGTGTGTGTGTGTGTGTGTAAGTACTTTATATTTGTATGTATGTAAGTATGTATATAATATTAAAACATTTATGTGTGTGTGTGTAAGTACTTTATATTTGTATGTATGTAAGTATGTATATAATATTAAAACATTTATAAAGCGCCAATTAAATCAATATCTCGCAAATGTATGTGTGTGACAGTGTGTGTGTGCGCGTGCGTGTGTGCGTGTCTAAAATGAATAACAATAAAACGCCCGGCTACAAAAGCTATGTTGTTCATTCAACAGCTATGGGTGCAATAAACTTCAATGTAAAACAAAATGTGACATAAATAAATATATCAATATCTATTATTTATTATCCACATTACACACACGCACAAACACACATACACACACAAACACATACACACACACACAAACACATATATAATACATAATACATTTCTGATGTGACATTATTGTGGAATAAAATTCTGTACGAATTTCAATAATGCATTATGATTCCTTCTTAGTTTCCCAGCCAAGCAGACATACGGATGCATGTTTTTGGAGTAAACATGATAGAAGTAGGAGAGAGAAAATTGGTGACGATGACGCTGATGAACACAAGCACACGCACACACACACACAAACACATACACACACACAAACACCACACACACACATCTACACATACATAAAAATATAGTAGTCACATCTTACGTCTGCACGAACACCACACACACACACACACACACACACACACATACATACATACACACACGCACAGACACACACACACAGACACATACATAGAAATATAGTAGTCACTTCTTATGTCTGCAAAGGGTGTGAAATGCTATTCAATTAATTAACCCAGGCAGTAATTAGGCCTAGGCCTCGCTCATAACTTATCTTTATCGGACGTCGTTGATGATGCAACTATGCACTTAAACGCTCTTAATCAGGTTCCTGTTTGTAGGTTTTTGTGTGTTTGTGTATGTCTGGGTGTGTATGTATGTGTGGTGTGTTTGTGTGTGTGTGTGTGTGTGGGTTTGTATGTATGTGTTGTGTGTTGTGTGTGTTGTGCGTTTGTGTGTATGTGTTGTGTGTTTGTGTGTGTGCGTGTGGGTTTGTATGTATGTGTTGTGTGTGTGTGTGTTGGTTTGTATGTATTTGTTGTGTTGTGTGTTTGTCTGTGTGTGTGTGTGTGTGTGTACATATGCGTATGTTTCTATGTACGTGTTTATGGACTTTTATTCTAGTTAGTATGTATAAAATGTATCGTTGGTATCCTTGAGTAGCCTGTAATGTTTGCATATTTTGCATCCATGTCCAGTTGGTAATTTTATGTTTTAAACAACTTTTTGGCAGCAAAACACACACACACACAAACACAAACACACACACACACTTATATACACCGACACAAACACACACACACATATATATATATATACACCGACACAAACAAACACACACACATAATTTTTAACTTCTAGAAGCGCTTGGCATATATATGTTTATATATAGGAGCGTTTTATTAGAACGTTTGACTGGGCAGTACTACTACGGCTGCGTGAGATTGATTGATAGATTTTCATTAAAACTTTATTGTCCTTTTATTGTTTGTGTGTTTATGTGTTTATATGTGTGTGTGTGTGTGTGTGTGTACGTGTATGTAAGTGTGAATGTTTGTGTGTGTAAGGGTTTGTATGTTTTAAAATTTCCAACTAAATGAATGACTGACTGAATGAATGAATGAATGAATGATGAATGAACGAACGAACAAACGAACGAACGAACGAACGAACGAATGAATGAATGATTGAATGAACGAGCGAACGAACGAATAAACGAACAAACGTTGTTGAGGTAATTGGGCAAACATGCTTAAATTTGTAGTGAATAGAATACCGATAAACTTTTTAACACTAACCAGCTAACGTGAAAATCTTCAAAACAATCTTCTTCCCTAACTTACAAAGAACAACAAAAAATTTTAAAAATATCCTTTCCCCACCTCACTACAAACCCAAAACCCCCACCGTGGCTCACCTTTACCCCCATCCCCCTTTAAAATTTCCGGACCACACACAGGGCACATTTTACAAAATTGAACATTCACATCTCGTCAGCTTATTTTACGCGCTCAAATGCACTCCATTGTGTTACGCTCACAATCCTCACAACAATACAAATAATAATAACAAAAATCATAATATATTATAATTTAATAGCAGTATTATTATCACAGACACTGTTATATTTATATTTAATTTTTGTTATGTTTAGATGATATTGCTTGTTCAGTAATCTGTATCCAATACAGTTCTTTGAAGCAATATAAGATGAATTATTTTAAATTTATCTTGGAAAAAAAGTTTGAAGTTTAAAGAACCGTATGAAAAACTTGCGAAACAAATTATTTACGTAGTTCAGAAAATTACTCGGACAAAGAATAGAAAAAAAAGATTTAAAAATCTAACTTTAATTTTTGCTGTGCCGGAAAAACTAATCCAGGCAGAAAAAAGTCCTGCTGCTGCAAACTTCCAAACGACAGGAGAGGACTGCTTGAATGAGAAACACGAGGAAAGGAAATAAAAATGCGATGTAATGCAAAGCGAAATCGGGAAAAAATATATATACCTAAGGGTAGCCATACAAAGAAGCAGACATACAGACATACAACAACAACAAATGAAAACAAATCTACATGCATACAGACAGACAAATATACAGACATACAAAAACATCAGCTAACGAAAGCGGAACAAATAGGCAAAAAATATAGAGAGACAAACAGACAAACAGTCAAACAAACAGAAGCAGACAGACAGACCGACGAAACGAAACGAATGTTATACAAAACTGCAAACAAACATAGACAGAAATACAAACAAACATATAGACAGACAAAAAGCAAACACCTAGACAGACAGACAGACAGATGAACGGACACACTGGCAGACATAGAAACAAAACCGAACGAAGCGTATATGCGACTATGTGAGATATTAAATGGAATGTTTTCCTTCCGAATAAATTATAAACTTGACTGCAATATAATATAAATGTCAAAAATATGTCATAAGTTTTTTAAGATAACATAAAATTAGATAACTTCCATCAGTGGTGGGTCTAGACAACTACAACATTAATGAAAGGGCCGAGAAATCAAAATATCTGACAACCATGGGGAAGGGGAAATTTTTCAAACAAAAAACATTGATGACGGATGATCGGAGACATACTTCGTAGCGAAAAAAAATCTTTGATGTATTTAAAAGTTCCATCAGCACAAAGAGCTCGCACCAGGCGGTGTATCATATCATTTTGGCACGCTTTCCTTTCGAACCATGGGATAATTCTTCTAAGGCCAGTTGAGATTATCTAGCGCAAGCTCTTCATCACTCGCTCGAACGCCTCTCTGAATTTATTCCTGCCGATGTGGTCGCCCCGAATACAGATGTGTGTGTGTGTTTATGTGTGTGTGTGTTTATGTGTGTACGATTTTGTATGTGTGTACGATTGTGAATGTGTGTGTAAGCGTGTATGTTTGTGCGTGTACATGTGCGTGTGTGTACAACAATGAAAAAAAAAAATTTTAAAAATTGTATAAAAGAGGAATTTTTTGGAAGGTTTTTTGGTACAAAAAAGTAAAAAAGTTAATGCCTTTTTAAAGGCTGACTTAAAAAGCATTGAAATAAACCCGGCACATAAATGATGCATGCAGCAATATAAGGCAGGTAGGCTGGATAATAAAAGTTAAACTGTAAAGGGAGAGGTCGTTAAACACTTTTTAAACATAATGCATTGTTTAATAATTCACTATGTATGTACGCGTGTGTATGTTTATTTGTGTGTGTGTGTTTATTTGTGTGTATGTGTGTGTGTGTGTGTGTGTGTGTGTGTGTGGTGTGTGTGATTGACGGATTTCTTAAATGCTACAGCTGCTAAAAGTGATGATGTTAATGATGATGAAATGATATTCATAATTGCAGTGAATGTAAAACCGATGAAGACAAACAAGAGTTTGAATAGTATGATGACGTTCGAGATTATGAAATGAAAACAACTCTTGTATAAAATATTTCACGAACCCCCAAATTATTGAGGCCCCTCATTACACCCCACAAACTGATGACGTAATAATGACGTCAACACTGACGTCAACAATACAGAGAACTTTATTAAAAAAGTTGATTGCCATCGACTCGATGGAGATGTCCTTTTTAATAAGTTTTATTTTCAAACCGACGATTTTGTAGGACTTCTAAGAAAATTAGAAATTTCGTTCTAAGAAAATTTATCTACTTGTGTATGATGTACAGAACAAGTTTGTACGCGTCTGTTTATATTCCTACGTGTTGTACGCTTAATGTTGTACACTTGTTGAAGTGCTTTGATTGTTACATTTTGTTAAAAATTTGTCGTCTCGGCACAGGGGGCTAGCGTGAGAAGATGCGTGGTGTAGTGAGGTGTGTTGCGTGCCAGTGCAATAATGAAGCAGGTCGAATCACCTTGCATTCTGTTTCATAAATTTGAAACATGATGAAATGGTCGCAAATTAAATTCATCACTCAGGTAGGGTAAGTTTACCTGTCGATTTATACGAGAATGTGTTTGTTAAATTATGTGTGTGTGCGTGCGTGCGTGTGTGTGTGTGTGCATGTACTTACACCTACCTGATGCATGAGTATATGCATTCATGAGTGTGCATGTGTGATTGTATGTGCTTGAACGCAAGTGTGCAGGGTTGTTTGTGTGCGCTTATAGGTGTGTGTGTGTGTGTGTGTGTGTGTGTGTGTGTGTGTGTGTGTGTGTGTGTGTGTGGATGAGTGTGTGTGTCTGTGCGTGCGTGCGTGGGTCTGTGGATGTGTGTGTCTGTGTGTGTGTGCGTGTGTTTGTGGATGTATGTTTGTACTTGCGAGTGACGTAATGGAGCGTGCGTAAAAACATTGATCTGTACAAATGTTTCCGTACATGTGAAACGTTCAACGTACATTTGAATTCATCATCTGCTTGCCTGCCTGGCTGGCGTTTTATGTGCAAAATGTTCATCTGATAATTTCTAGAAGCTGTTGTTGTTGTTGTTGATGATGTTGTGGATGTTGATGTTGTTGTTGTTGTTGTTGATGATGTCATTGCCAGTGTTGTTATTACTAATTTTATAAGCACTCATCATTCCCAGCATGTTTCAGCAACAGCAACAATAAAAACAACAGCAGCAACAACAACAACATCAACAAAATTATTGTCAATATATTAGGAGAGGTTCTCGCTGGGACACCATGATGTCGATGGCAAATAACTTCGAAATGAAACATAACAGCGTTAATACCCATTCAAGAATTGTCAAAAATAAATCCATTCACAAAAATGAGTAAAAAAACTAAAAAAAATATGAAGAATTTTACAAAGGGAGGATTGACAATAATTAAAGAACACGAAAAACTCTAGTGCAAACATACATATTTAATGTAAATTATATATAAATATATATATATATATACACAGACATAATATATATATAAACCAACACACACACACACAAATGTAGACGCCCAGAGGCAAAACGAAACATAACGAGACAGACAGACACAAACACATACACATATGCAGAGAGAAGTCAATGGCAGTTATTGTGGTCCGTTTTGAGACCTTGTCAGTAAGGATGCCGGCAGATTTATAGCATTATACATCAGTCACCTTCAATATTTTCTCCTCTTTAGATGTTCTTTCGGTATTTCGGTATTCGTTTGTTGGGTATTTATCATTGTTGGAGTATTGGTAGTGTTAGGTTTCACCTATGGTTTGATGTATTATTGCAGTTGGTTATATTTGGTCTGTTTGACTGACTGAGCTAATGTAATGATTCATGTCCTCTTATGATAGCCGAGTGTGTATGTGCGTCTTAAAAATTGGATCTCTTGGCGACCTACCTGGTTCGTGTGCTAACTTAGCCATCCGAAAACTGAATCATTTGAAGGTACATATTAACGAACTATCATCTGTCCATCATAAAATGTACGTTCGTGTTTTTGTTTTTGAGGTATATTTTGAAGTGTTTGAATATGTGTGTATTTGTATTGTTGTTTATAAGTATGCTTGTGTGAGAAATGTGAGTGTAAATGTGAGTAGAAGCTCATATTATCCAGTCGTTTTAACGTGTCATTTGCAATCTTTGTTCGAAGTGTTGCTTAAAATACGTAAAAAGCACACGCACACGCACACTCATTGATACGTGATGCACGTTTTATTTTTTTGAAAAATAATTTTTTTTCATTTTTAAATGTAAATGTTAACTTCTCTGTCCATCTGAACGCACGTGTGCACAACTTGACGCATAAAATGAGTGCAGACATGTACACACACACACACACAATGTACACACACACAATATACACACACAATGCATACACACACAATGTACACACACAATGTACACATACACACAGACGCGCGCATACATTTTCAACTGTATATTGGCAAGAGAAAATATACAGAATTAAGGATAAAAAAACAACAGACTGAAACATTTGAACATTTGAATGATAGACATCATACGCCAGAACAAAATTAGATAACAACACATACACACATACATACACACGTAAATACACACAGAC